ACTAACGCCTGTTATTGGAAGTAGTAATACCAGTAAGCGCAAGAATCATGAAACCTTCTCCGGATCAGAACATCCTCGCGCTCTGAGATGTACTGTGGAAGATTGCTTGGCGGCTTTCGGCCCCTGCGGTCCCTCGCCGGCCCTGGGATCTTCAGAAAACGATTCGGGATGAAACGCTGGCCCGGGGAACAAGGGCGCCCGCGAGGGCGCGAAGCTAATCGCGCTGCGCGGTTCAGCTCCGCGCTGGGGCCACCTTGAGCTTCCAGGCGCGGGGATCGTGCATTTGGTGGAGTGGCGGGGCCGTGTGGCCCATAAGTCCCATGGGGTTTTCGTGCCTACCCGCCCTCGCTTACCAAACCAGTTGCGCGTGTCAAATGTTTTGGCAGGGGCTGGTAGTCGGGAAGGGCCTCACAGTGAGGAGGTGCATCGACCGTCCCCCGACGCACCACTGCCACCACGTATGGGCAGCGAGTCGCGGGGCGACGAGGCGGTGACCTGTACCTCGACCCTGTTGCGTGAGCTCCTCGCCGATGAGCGAGCGGCCTCCCCTGCACGTGAGGAGGGAGGTCTCCCCGTGTGGGGGCGGAGGGCGGCCGTTTTGCGATGAGACAGCGCTCTCGTGTGAGGCTCTCCTCTCGCGCGGGTTCGCTTCTTTGTTCTCCATGGCGACATGGCTCCCGTGGGGGCGGCGCGAGAGCGCGACGTTATTCGCGCCGCGCGAAGCGCGGAGCTCGGCGCCCCTGGGACGGGGTCCAGACCTTTGGGGGCCCACGTTGCAAGCAATCACGATGTCGGGGGCCGGGGGGGGGGGGAAGGGGGGCGGGCCTCCAAAACCTCGCCACAATGCAGCCGCAGGGCGCTGTAGGGATCGGTCCTCTTCTTCCTCATTATCCTCCTCCTCCTCCTCCTCCTCCTCCTCCTCCTCCTCCTCCTCCTCCTCCTCCTCCTCCTCCTCATATTCCTCCTCATCTTCCTCCTCCTCCTCCTCCTCCTCATCCTCCTCATCCTCATCCTCTTCACCTTCAACCTCCGCATCCTCATCCTCGATGCCTTTACCCTTCTCTCGTGTCGGCCTTTTCTGAGGCCTTCGTCGCCACGGTTAGATTCGTCTCGAAATCCTGGTCGGAACGCACCCCGTGACAGGTTTGGGGGGCTGCGGTGTCGGTACCTTTTTCTGTCCCCGGCGAGGAACCAGTAAAAAAAGGGCTTGACGAATCAGCTCGCGTACCTGGTTTCCCCGGCGCGGTGGGATTGGGGGCGGGCCCCGGCCTCCCAAAATTTCCCCCCGAATGCAGCCACGGGTGTCCAGGCCTCCCAATGACAAGTGGCCCGTCCTCCTTCTATATCGATCCTCCTCCTTTTCCTCCTCCGCCTTCTCCTCCTCTTCCCCTTCATCATCGTCATCACCATCATGAACCTCATCCTCGTCCTCCTCCTCCTCCTCCTCCTCCTCCTTTTCCTCCTCTTCTACCTCGTCCTCCTCCGTCTCATCCTGTTCCTTCTCCTCCTCCTCCTGATATCCCTCCTCTCTTGTGGGAGTACCAGGCCGGCTGAATGCAATCGAGATGGGTCCGAGGTTCGAGGATCTATGCGTTTGTCCCTTCCTTTTGTTGTTGTTGTTGCCCTTGCCGGGCCTCAGGGAGGTCGTCGCCACGGGTGCATTCCCAATTCTGGCCAGAGCGCGCCCCAAGGCAGGGACCATGACCTCTAGAGACTCGTCATTGTTTTTTTGTTTTCGCACTTTCGGCCAATAAAGGTTGGTTTCGGAATATAGCACCGTGCGAGTGAACAAAGAATCCCAGCAAAATGGTCCAGAGGTCCAGGGGCCCATGGACTCGAGACTATCAGGTCGTCGGAGGTATGGATCGAAGGGATCTGAGGACAATTCAGTCAGTACCTACTCGCGGTGGCGGATACATGTCTGCTTCTCGTCGCACCAACAGATGCGTTGGTAAGGCGAGCCGCGCGTCTCGCCTGAGTTTTCCTCATCGCTTATGAATTATATGTTGCTCTCATGTCGAACCGATGCAACATTGATTGCGAATTTATCCAACCCATGACCCTCAGCAACGCTGTGCGATAAGACACGTGGCCGGCACCGCCCGGTACAGCAACTTTCTCGCATTCCGAGGACCAGGCACGGCATGGCAATTTTCACGCATTCTGAGAATAGAGCGCGGCAAGCGGGCACGGCTGTATTTCCGTACTCTGAAACCAGACACGACACGGCACGCGGATACGGCCCAACAGCTCTTCCTCACTCCCCCAACAAAGATAGGGGAACAAAAGCAGTGACATAAAGATAACAACTCGGAGGTCCGCGCGGATTTCTCGGATCGGCGCCGGGGCCCCCAGCGGCGCCTCCGGCGCCGCCCCTGGCGCGCTCCGCGCGCCAGGGAGGGGGGGTCCAGCGCCGATCCGAGAAATCCGCGCGGACCTCCGAGTTTGTATGTTTATGCCACTTGTTGTTCCCCGAACAAAAATTCGGAACACCAAGCACGGCACAGCACGCTGGCACGCCACGGCACGGCATTTGCACAGCTTTTCCCCCGGCCCCGGAAACCAGTCACGTCTCGGCACGCGGGCATGGCGCGGCACGGCAATCGTCAGGATGGGAAAAAGCACACCGACACAGTTGATCGTCGATTCCCAGGAAAATATGGAAAACGATGGGAAGTGGGAGGGAGGACGAACATCCCCCCAAAAATGCAAAAATATGGGGAGTCCTGGGATCTGTGTTTTTGTGTCTGTGCGTCCCTGGGCTCCCTCAAATCCTTCTGCACCCTCGACGCCAGGCATGGCGCCACGCGTGGGGGGCACGGCGCGGCAGAGCCCTCGCACCCAAAAAAAAGCCCGGCGCAGCAGCGCGGCACGCGGGCACGACGCGCGTAGCGGCACGGCAGCTGCCTCCCAGCCTCGGGACCGAGCACGGCACGGCACGGTTCTCTTGCACACTCGCATCCAAGCTCGGCGCGGGACACGGCCACGACACTTAGGGGGCCACATGTGAACCCTACCCCTACCCCCCACGATTTCTGAGGGGGAGGGTGGGGTTCACTTCGCATTCAACCTTATCTCGGCGCTGGGCCCCCCCGGCGGCGCCTCCGGCGCCGCCCCCGGCGCGCTCCGCGCGCCAGGAAGGGGGGTCCAGCGCGGAGCCAGGACATCCGCGCGGAGCGCCAAAAGGTTATGGCTGTGTCGTCTTTGTTCTTCTTCTGCTGCTCGCCTTCGGCCCATCCCGCCACTGTGCCTGGGCGGTGGGGATGAAGCCCATTGGATGTTCATTGGGATCTCGTGGGGGGCTTTTCGGGTGCCTCTCGGAGGCAGTTTGGTCGCGTCTTGGGGGCCGTTCGGGAGCTTCTTTTGGACCTCTTGGGAGCCTCTTGGGCCTCTTGGAGGCCTCTTGGGGGCCTCTTGTGGCCTCCTGGGCGCCCCTTGGGGCCTCCTGGGAGCCTCTTGGGGAGGAAGGCTCGCGTTTTCGGTTCGTGTTCCCTCTTTCGGGCCCCTTCGGGGGCCGTCTTTGGGCCCTCTTCGGCTGTTTTGGGCGCAGACTCTTGGGATGTCTTGGGGCCCTCTTGGGCTGTTTTGGGCGCCTCTTGGAAGCTTCTTGTGCCGTCTTGGGGCGGTCTTGGGGACCTCCAGGGCGGTCTGGCAGTGTTGGGGGGCCGTCAAGGCGAGAACGCCAAAATCCTTGAAAGGCCTGGGGGCAATCAATGATTTTGGCCTCTTGGGGCCCTCTTGGGAGGCCTCTTGGAGGCCTCTTTTTGGGGGTCTTGGAGGCCTCTTGGGCCGATCTGGGAGCCATCTTGGGCGTCCTGGGGCGATCGCTCGGCGGCGAGAAGCCCCGGGGGTCACGCGCCAAGCCCGAGAAGACTTGAGAATTTGGGGTCCGGGAGATGTCCTCCTCCTCCTCCTCCTCCTCCTCCTCCTCCTCCCTCCCTCCTCGCTCCTTGCTCCTCGCTCCTCCTCCTCCTCCTCCTCCTCCTCCTCATCCTCCTCCTCCTCGTCCTCCTCCTCCTCGCTCCCCCTCCTCCTCCTCCTCCTCCTCCTCCTCCTCCTCCTCCTCCTCTCCTCCTCCTCCTCCTCGCTCCTCCTCCCCCTCCTCCCCCTCCTCCCCTTCTCCCCCTCCTCCTCCGACACGGTTCTTTCACACCACGAGGGGGTCCCGGAGATTTCGGGGGCGTCCAATAAGGGGAGGCGCGTCCAAGAAGAGGGGGACGGACCCGAGGGCTGGAAGGGCCTGAGGACACGCCCGCTTCGCGCCCACGGGCACGGTGGCAGGTCTCCATCCCCACTCTGGGCCACGGCATCTCGGCCCCGCCATGCCTGCCAATCCCCCCCCAGGGCGGGGACGGGTCCGGCGAAACACCCGACGGAGCAGGAGGCACACCATCCCCACCCGAGGGGAAATCATCGACCGGTGGCTTGGCATCGCTCGGCCGTGTGCATTTTTCCTTCGGCGAGGACCATCGAGGAGCATCCTTGATCATTTCGCGAAAAAACCACGCACGAAACCGAACAAAGCACAGGAAATGGACGTCCGAGCGATGGCCAGCTGGTGCCACAGCCGTGCCTCTGGGGATGGAGACGAAGGACTTCGACTGCATCTTAGCTCAGGGATAGGACAAAGCACGCCGACCCCGATACTCGGCGTTTGCTAACCGGCCCTGGGCCTTTACTAAACAGCCCTGCCCTATTCGATCCCTTCCTCGGGTGCCTTTACCAACCGGCTTCGCTTGTCGGGGTGATTCGTGCGAGGGTGGATGTTCTGTCTTCTATTGGCAGCTTACCCGAAGGTTTTCCTCGTCTCCAGGCGGAGGGCGACAAAACCACGGCTCCCGCTCGATGCTTCCTCCCCTCTTGCTCAAGGTGGTGTTCCTCCTCGCCGCCGAAAACCGCCACCCCGACAAAACCAGCGTTCCCGCTCGAGACTTCCTTCCGTTTTACGCTGGACTGGCGCCCTGCTCTCTTTTGCATTGGCGGAAGGAGGGGGAGCTCCGCGCGCGGCGGAGGATGCCCGCCACCCGCGAGCGGCGCGGGCGCAGCGACGAGTCGGAGGGCAGCGACGGCAGGGACAAGAAGAGAAGGAGCTTCGCGGCCCGAAGGGGGCTGCGAGGAGGAGGAGGCACACAGGCCTCCTGAGCAGGGCTGGACCTAAACGGTGTTTTGGCGACTTCGTGGGCCGTTTTCGTTTCGACTTCGTTTTGCAGTAGAGGCGGATTGAAGACAAAACGACGGAAAACCAACAACGAAAACGAAAAACACCGTTTATGTTCTGCCCTGCTCCTGAGGTCGGGGGAGAAAAAAATAGCGATATGCCGCCACTCGCCCTGGCCATCCCTCGTCGCCGCGGCTGGATTCTCCTCGAAACGCCGGGTCAAAGTGCACCCCGGGAAAGGTCCGGGGCTAGCAGTATCAGCACCCAGACTTCCAGGGACTTCGCCGGCATCGAGACTCAGGCTTCTCAGCATTTTCGGCCCCCAGGGGCCTGTTTCGGACCCACTGTTGCCAGAAAACCACTCGTGGCCCAAGATTCGAAGATATCCTATCGTTCGAAATCTTGGGGAGGGAGGAGGATATGAGCAGCCGCGCCAGAGTTTGGTTCCTGGGTCTCGGCACCTGTGGGGCAGTTCAGAGCCTCGGTGCATTCAGACATCGATCCGGGATGGAAAATTGGCCTGCACGGACGGGGAGGGATGGCGGGGGGGAGGAGGGAGGACGACGAGGAGGAGGAGAAGAGGAGGAGCAAGAGCAGGAGGAGGAGGAGGAAAAGGAGGAGGCGGAGGAGGGGAAATTCAGGACGAGGAGGAAACGGACGAGGATGAGGGCAGCGACGACGAGGGGCAAGGCGAGAAGGACATCTTGGTATCGAGGAGGAGCAGGAGGAGGAGGAGGAGAAGGAAGAGGGGGAGGAGTTTAAGGATGATGATCATGATCATGATGACGATGATGATGATGATGATGATGGTGATGATGATGATGATGATGATGATGATGATGATGATGATGATGATGGTGATGGTGATGGTGATGGTGATGGTGATGATGATGATGATGATGACGATGATGACGATGATGATGATGATGGTGATGATGATGCTGATGATGATGAAGATGATGACGATGCTGATGATGATGCTGCTGCTAATGACGATGATGCTGAGGATGATGTTGCTGATGGTGCTGCTGATTATGATGATGATGGTGATGGTGATGGTTATGGTGATGATGCTGCTGATGATGCCGATGATGATGATGATGATGAGGAGGATGAGGATGAGGATGGTAATGAGGATGACTATGAGGATGAGGATGATACTCAAGATGAGGATGAGGATGACGATGACGATGACGACGTCGATGATGACGATGCCGATGCCGATACCGATACCGATTATGATGATGATGCTGATGATGATGACGATGCTGATGATATTGATGATGCTGATGATGATGACCATGATGATGGTGATGCTGATGCTGGTGATTACGATGATGATGCTGAACATGCTGATGATGATGATACTGATGCTCATGATGATGATGATGATGATGATGATGATGATGATGATGATGATGATGATGATGATGATGATGACGATGATGCTGATGCTGATGCTGATGCTGATGCTACTGATGATGATGTTGATGCTGCTGATGATGGTGGTGGTGATGATCATGATGTTGGTGGAGGTGATGACGTCGATGATGATGACGATGATTATGATGATGGTGATGTTGATGCTGAGGATGAGGATGAGGACGAGAGTGATGAGACGAGGTTCGCCGGAAGAAGAGTACTTTATTTACGATATGGATGACGAGATGCCAGAGGTCGAGATGGAAGAGGCGGAGGACGAGGGTGAAGAGGAGGACGATGACGACGCAGAGGAGCGTGGCGACGAGAGGGGGGCAAAGAGGAGAAGGACATCTCGACGTATCTGCTGAAAGGGAGGAGGGGGAGGAGGAAGAGGTGGAGGGGATTGAGAAGAAGAAGAAGATGATGATGAAGATGAGGAATGGGACGACGAAGAGGAGGAGGACCTTCCTCCCCATCCTCGGCTTCCTGCTACTTCTCCTCCGCTTGGGGGCCTATTTTGCAGAGAGGGTCCTCGCCGCCGATTGCAAGGGCGAGGATGATGAGGAACAGGATGGGCAAGGACGTGTTTGTTGGGAGGGAGGGGTCGACGATCGAGGTCTTCGAATGTTTCTGGACGTCTGCGCGTCCTCTCTGGGCATCCAGGGATCTCCGGAGGCCGCCAGGGACCTGGTGACTCCTGGCGGCTTCCTGGGCCCGTCTAGGGAGGGAGTCCGGAGCGTGTCTTGCCTTTTTTGGGGGGTCTTTCTGCTCTGCCTGCAGCAGGCCTCTCGTCCAGTCGGCGGGGGGTTACCCCGGAGGGTCTGGTCTGAGCGCATGTCAAGAGAGCCTCGGGGGGCCGACCTTGGAGGGGAGAAGATGGAGGGGGCCAGGAGGAGGAGGAGGAGGAGGAGCGCACTTACATTGCAGCTTGCGCCGTCTACCACTTGCCCTGCGGGCCCCTCTGCTTCTCCAGATCTCTTCGCGCCACTTTTTTTCCGAACGGCTGCTGCTGCACGTTGCGTGTACATTTGTCTTTGTCATGTGGGCGCTGCGTTGGGGTAGCCATGGAGGGCGATGGGACGGACGGTCTGTGTTTGAGTTTTTGCTGCTTCGTGGGGACGTCCTGCGCGCCACGGATGGTTCCGCCTTAAGATGCTGATCAGAACGCACCCCTGGACAGGTCCAGGTGGACTTGAGGGATGGAGATGCTTACAGACACGAGCAGGCACGTTGCATTCCACTCAACTGCCTGTCTTAGGTGCGACGCAGGTATGAGGAGATCTCGTGGAATCGTACCTGCAGGATCATGCAACTGTTGCTTGCTGCATGTGTGCACGCTTGGTGCCCAGGGGGTTCTCATGGAGGAGGCGGGGTACCCTATTTGGTCACGTGGTTGAAGTTTTGAGGTACCTGCACATGACCATCTGCGTTGCGTATTTCTTTTTCCTCTGCAGGAAATTGGTTCTCAGCGTCTCCAACCTGAGCAGAAACGTGAATCAGGATGGCAGCCCGCGCTTCCCGTCTGTCTTCCAGAGCCAGGACTCGTGGCCAGGCTGTCCGCACATGATTATGGTGGCTTGTTGGTTTTGGCAAGGCGTGTGTGTGTGTGTGTGTGTGCGTTTGTGTGTTCATGTGTTGCCTCCACTCTTGGCTTGCCATGTGCTCCTTCTGAGCAGAAGCCCGAGGCGCACACACTCCTGGTGGGCGGCAGCGCGCCTTCCTCTCAGATCTGCCCAGATGCCCTGCGTCACTCCGGTGTACGATTCGGCTTGCCTCTATCATTCGCTGCGACGTGCCAGGCTATGGGTACTGTATCAGAAGCGATGTGCTGATGACACTTAACCTGCAAGTGCAGATGCAAGGGTGTGCAGGCATGCCGGCCCCCACGCGCCGCAAGGAACATTTAAAAGAGATTTTCGGCAATTATGGGAAGGTCCACGCTCCCTGCGTTCTTCTTGTCATTGTTGTAGATGTCGCTTGTCCTCCTCATTGTTCTGCACTGCAGGCCAGCTACCTTCCCCGAGCTAACGCCTTTCCAGTAATCCCTGTCTGCGTCGTGCGCTATTTGATTGGCTGTCCTCCGTGTTTTGCTTTATGTTGCCGGCCGCAAATCGGTGAGATGTGTCGGTCTCGGTCTTCAGCAGTGAGGACGCGGCGGAGGAGAGGAGGCCAGGGGAAGGGGGGGCGAGGCTCAGGAGATACAGAGAGTCCCCAGAATTCCGTAGATCGGAAAGGAACATCTGCGTAAGCATAAGCCGTCGGAGATTTTGGAGCTCATCCATCGAGCTAGCCCTTCGTGTATCTCGCGGGCCGCCGCCGTGGTAATTCGGCCGCACCGTCGGCCGGGCCTTCCGCCTCATGCAGCTCTCTGCCCAGGCCCCGCCCTGCCTGGGAGACGAGGTTCGCGCGCGCGCAGAGTGCGTTCGCACACCTTCGCAGTCACCGCGTCGGGGCTCCCTCGTTGCATCGGGCGTCTCCTGGCGGGGGGCAGGAGTGGCTCGGAGGCCGTCGGCGTGACCACGCCCGGTTTCACCATCCTCCCCGCTGTGCCTCGTGGCGCGGGCCATGGGGGGCGTGCTGTCCGCCGCAAAAGCATACGGTTAGCCCGCATAGCAAGGATGAGCAATTTTCCAAGGTTACCTTCGGTAGAAAATCATGGGAGCCTCGTGTACCCTCGTAATTCTGTCTCTGGCGCCGATTAGCTCGATTCGCGTCTGGGAGTCGATGGGATATCGCCGGTTTAGCGTCGGCTAGCGTCGATTAGCGGCGATTTAGCGTCGGTGAGCGTCGGCAAGCGTCGATTAGTCTCGATTCGCAAATGCCGACAAGATGGTATGGGAGGCTCCCATGAGTTGCCACCGCAAGGATGAGCAACTTTCCAGGGTCGCCCTTGCACCCTTCCCATTCGGCCCATCCTTGGCCGCTTTCGCTGGCCGTGCCCCGCTCGCAGAGTGTCGACCTGGCCTTTCAAAGCCCTTGCATCCTTACCGTGCGTCCTCAGGATACGGATTGACTCTTGCGTATGCACAGACACCCTCCAAGGGATTGCTCCTGGGCCTCAGGAAGGGGCGGCGGTGAAGACATCACCACTGAGCGCCAGCGGCTTGATACGCCGCCACCCTGCCTGAAGGCACATGCAGAAGTTTGTCGGCGTGGCTGGCGCAGGAGGAGGAGGAGGAGGAGGAGGAGGAGGAGGAGGAGGACGGGGAGGAGGAGGAGGAGGAGGAGGAGGAGGAGGAGGAGGAGGAGGAGGAGGAGGAGGAGGGAGGAGGGAGGAGGAGGAGGAGGAGGAGGAGGGGAGGCGGCGGAGGCGGCGGCGGCCGCGGCGGCGGCGGCGGCGGCGGCGGAGGAGGAGGAGGAGGAGGAGGAGGAGGAGGGGGAGGAGGAGGAGGACGAGGAGGAGGAGGAGGAGGACAGGGAGGAGGAGGAAGACAAGGAGGAGAAGAAGGACTGAGAGGAGGAGGAGGAGGAGGAGGACGAGGACGAGGAGGACGAGGAGGAGGAGGAGGAGGAGGACGCGCAGCTCGATCCGACTCGATTGACAGATCCGCCGCGCCAGGGCAAGCCCGATCCGACGCGCAGCTCGATCCGACTCGACGGACAGATCCGCCGTGCCAGGGCAGCGGGGTCCGACGGACAGATCCGCCGTGCCAGGGCAGCCCCATCCGCCGCGCATGGTTCGATCCGATTCGGCTGGCAGGTCCGCTGCGTGCGGAGCCACGTCCTGCCCTCCCTGGGCCCTGGAGAGCCGTCCAGGCACGACTCTGAACAGCCTCCTGTCGAAGCGATGAATTCGGGCCTGGGTCGGAAACTGGAACACGTACATTACCAGTGGCGGGTTGTCTTTCAATCCCAGGATTTCTCGAGGGTCAAGGACGACGCTGTGGTGGTGTGGTGTATACATACGTTTTCCCCGATGTCCGGGGGAAGCAACGACAAACGTTCTACACCAGGGTCCCGTCTTCACCAGGATCCGCTCTTCAGTGTCAATTTCAATGCAGGGCCGGAACAAAGCGTCGGTGTATAGAGTTCGATTCCGTATTTGGATACGTTGGGGGTGTTTTTGTTCCGTCTTCAAGATCGACGGTTTCCTCAAGTGTTGGGCACCGATTTGCTTATGTTTTCAGGGCACGAGTCGGAACAACCTCTTCTCGAAGCGATGAATTCGGGATACGCTGGGGGCGTTCTTATTCCGTTTTCAGGATCGACGTTTTTCCTCAAGTGTTGGGCACCGTTGTTTTACGTTTTCAGGGCACGGGTCGGAACAACCTCCCCTCTCAGCGATGAATTCAGTCCTGGGCTTGGATGCGTTGGGGGCGTTTTTGTTCCATCTTCAGGATCGACGTGTTCCTCAAGTGTTGGGCACCGTCTTTGTTACGTTTTCAGGTCTGGGATCGGCCCGTGGCCCGCTTGCTCGTTTTCTTTTTTTCTTCGTTTTCAGTGATTTTTTGGAATGACAGTGCCGGCTGCCTGGCGTCCACATTCGGGGTGCCGTTTGTGAGCGCGTTTCGGTCGAGTCACGAGCGAAAGTTTGGAAACAACGGGAAGACGCCCCTTGCGTTTTCGAGAACAACTAAAGGACTTGGATACCGATGCAAGCGCCCGTGGGAGCGGTAAGCCCCGCCAAGCATGCGGACACAAATCTTTGCTCTTGGAGCCACGAGCCGAGGCCACAGAGGGCACGGAAGTGAAGCCACGGAAAGCACGGGGCTGAGACTATACGGGACACGCGGAGCGGGAGTCGCGGGGAAGACGGGGGAGCACGGGGCCGAGGTCATGTCAGGAGGGAAAAAACCACACAGACACAATTAATCGTCGATTCCCCTGAAAATATGGGAAACAATGGGAAGTGGGGGGGAAGACAACAACCCAGACATATGGGAAAGTATGGGGTATCCTGTCATTAGTGTGTATTAATTTGTGTGTCCCAGGGCCCCTTCATCATGGGGGACACGGCACCGACGCCACGGTGGACACGGAAGCGAAGTCATGAAAGCCACCGGGGACACATAATCGAAGCCACAGGACACGGGGACACCGACAACGAACACATCCGGAGCGGGAGCCAAGGGGGAGGACACGGAGGACATTGGAGCGAGGTCGTGGAAGCCGCGGGGACACGGGCCCGAAGCCGCTGAGGACGCGAGACTGGTGTCACGGATGACACGGGACCGAGGTCAGCGGAAACCATTGTGGCGGTTGTGGTGGCCGTGGCCGCGGCGGCCGTGGCGGCCGTGGTGGCATTGACAGCTGTGGTGGCCGTGGAGGCCGTGGCGGCCGTGGTGGCCGTGGTGGTGGCCGTGGCCAGTGGTGGCCGTGGTCGCTGTGCTGGTTGTGGTGGCTGTGGTGGCCGTGGCCGCCGTGGTCACCGTGCTGGCCATCGTGGGCATGGCCGCCGTGGCCGCGTTTTAGTTTCGCCACCCGCCATTCTTCGCCCGACTTCTCCGCCAACACAGTTTCCTTCGTCCCAGGGAAGTTCCATTCTTCCTGAGCATATATTGTTCTCTCTGGATGTTGCGGTGGCGCAGGCGGTCGAAATTCGCGGCACTGCCCGCCTTCGCCTGTCGTCGTTCGTGCATTCAGGCGACTTCATATTCTTCCTCCTCCTCCTCCTCCTCCGCCCTCTCCTCTACCTCCCTCGTCGTCTTCCTCCTCCCCCCTCGCATCATTGCTCCCAGGGGCGGAGGTGCCGCCAGGGGGCGCAACCCTCCCTGTCGACACCCCTGATCCAATTCCCGCCCGTCGAAGCTCCTCGAACCTTCCGCGCCGCTGCGTCTCCCCAGGCCGCCCCCAGGCGGAGGATCGAGCAGATGCGATGCCGCATAATTATCGGGGATGGATAGACCTCCTACCCTGACACGTCGATTAGTGAATTGTCCGTTTTCGGTTCTCGAGCGGGCGCCTCGGCCGTCATCTTCCGGGCCTGCGCCCGCCAGGTTCGGGCCCGAGGTCTCTTTCACTAAGCCACGTTTTGCTAAAGGGGGGTCTGTCCACCCCCGAAATTTAGCATGTCGGGCGTGTCCCCCTACAGGGGGATTTTCCACGAAAATAAAAAATACCCCAAAAATGCCCCACAAAGGCAACACAATACCCCCAAAATAGTCCCCAGACTATTTTTGGACTATTGTTTGATTTTTTAAGCATTTTTTTCGTCGAGAATCCCCCGTAGGGGGAGAGGTCCGACTTAACATTAAGCATACACGCTCGGAGGTCCACGCGGAGTTCTGGGGTCGCGGCTGCAGCCCCTCGGCGGCCTCCGCCCCTGGCGCGCTCCGCGCGGAGGGGCCCAGCTGGCGCTCGGAGCAGCTTTGCTCCGAGAGGTGCGGCTCGGCTTGTGCTTAAGTCGGGCGTGTCCCCCTACAGGGGGATCTTCGATAGAAAATAAGACATACCCAAAAATACCCCTAAAAAGGTAAAACCATACTAAAAAAATAGCCCCCGGACTGTTGTTGGAGCATTTTTTAAAATTATGTTTGGGGTATTTTTTTTTTCGTCGAAAATCCCCCTGTAGGGGGACACGCCCGACCTAAGACTACATCCCAGCAGCCATTTCGAGCACCCAGACAAGTATCGAAACAGGGTCGAACGAGCATCGCCTCCCAGAGCCCGACGCGTGAAAGCGCTCAGGTTTCGGTACCTGTTTGGTGCTCGAAGTTCTTTACGTCGGTCAGGGCTGAACTAGGTTGGAACATCAGAGGGCTGGGCACGAGTTCTTCGGGCCGAACGAAAGGGGGGGTCAGGGAAAGGGGGGGGGTGAAATCTGCTGCATGCAGCTGGTTTCGGCCCCGCCGCCGGGCCCACTCCTCGAAACACGGGCGCCTCCCGGCGCCGGGAGGCGTTGCATAAATCAGCTACGTGAGCTACGTGAGCTGATTCTCTTCAGGAGGAGCAAAAACACACAGACACAATTAATCGTCGACCCCCAGGAAACTATGGGAAAATATGGGCAGTGGGGGGAAGACAAAAACCCAGAACATGTGGGAACATAGGGGGAAGTTTTTCACCCGTGTGTCTCTATCTGTGTGTGTGTGTGTGTCCTTGGGCCCGCTGCTTCTCTGCCCTACTCTTTGCCATCCCCACCCTCTCGTTCCCCCCGAGCTCTGCCCGGCCGGCTGCCTCCTCCCGGCACCGGCCGGATGCCAGCGCGGAGCGGGCGCCTCCAGCGCCGACGGCTCCGCGCGCGGCGCGACCGCCTCTGTAAAACAGGGCTAGGATCGGGATAAATCGCTCTCAGAGCGTTCCGGGGCGCTCTCAGAGCGTCCCGGAGCGCCTCAGAGCGGCCGCGGCGCCCAATACATCCTCCAAGCCCGCCGATTCCCAGAGCTTTCGAGGCATCCCGATCCGAGTTTGCCCCGATCTTCGAGTCGTGTTAGTCCCCCCCCCCTTTCCTCCGGCCCGAGACTTGCCCCCCTGGGCTCGCCGGCGATCGCACCCCGCGGGCTCGCCGCCCTCCGCGGGCTCGCCGTCCTCGGCAGTCCTCCGCGCCGTTTATACTCTGTGAGTGGCGCCGGACCCTCGGGCGGTGCGGCCGCCTCTCCGAGCGCCGACCTTTCCGCGCGCGGCGCAGCCGCCTGTGCTGATGGCGCTGGACCCTCGGGCGGCGCGGCCTCCTCTCCGAGCGCCGACCGCTCGGCGCGCGGCGCTTCGGGGGCGGGCCGCGGGCTCTCGCGGGCGGGAGAGTTCGGCGCCTCCGGGCCGAGGAGGGGGGCGAGATTGCCAAGGGCGCCGGAGACGGGGGCGCCTCCTCCTCCCCCTCCTCCCCCTCCTCCCCCTCCTCCTCCTCCTCCTCCTCTTCCTCCTCCTCCTCCGCCTCCTCCTCCTCGTCCTTCCCCTCCCCCTCCCCCTCCCCCTCCCCCTCCCCCTCCCCCCCCCCTCCTCCTCCGCCTCCTCCTCCTCCTCCTCCTCCTCCTCCTCCTCCTCCTCCTCCTCCGGGGCACAACGAACGGGGGCACGGGGAACGCCGATTTCCATGCTTGGCTATGGCCCCGTGCAGGGGGCCTTGGGCGCCGTAGACGGGGGGGGCATAGCAAGCGGGGGAATATGGAAAAGCCTGAGCCTCCGTTAGGCTAAGCCCCCTGTTTACGAATGCCCGCAGATTCAAGCGTGAGGGGGGTCTTGTCACTGGGCGCTCCCATGGGTGCGCCAAAGCCAGGCGGGGTGCAGAGAAAGGTCTTTCCCGATGGACATGCTCTGGAAGTGCTGAGCAGTTCGTCGGTCTCCCTCTCTCTCGCTCTCTCTCTTTCTCTCTCTTTCTCTCTCTTTCTCTCTCTCTCTCTTTCTCTCTCTCTTTCTCTCTCCTCGATTTCTCTTTCCTTCGGCGGCGCGCGAGCCTCCCTCCTCGTCCCCCTCATCACTCGTCGCCTCCGCCCGCGGGAGCCAGGTCAAGGACGCGACCCTCGCGATCGACAAGGTCGTTGGCCTCCCGAAGGCGCGTCGGGGTCGCGCGCCCCGACGCCCGGGCATCCTCCAGGAGGGGAAAGAGCACACAGACACAATGAATCGTCGATTCCCCAGAACATATGGGAACACGTGGGAAATGGTGGGGAGGACAAACACCCAGAAAATATTGGAAAATATGGGGAATCTGTTATTTTTGTGTGTATGTGTTTGTGTGCCCCAGGGCCCCTTCAATCCTGGGATCCTCGGGGCTGTCGTGCCCTCGGTCGTTGGCCGTGGCGCGTCGGTGTGCTCGCTGCCGCCCCGCAGGCGGGGGGGGGGCGGGGGGCCTATGCACGGCAGGTTTTGCGCGGCGTCGGCGCGCGCAGAGGTTTTTCGGAGACATGCTCCTCCTCCTCCTCCTCCTCCTCCTCCTCCTCCTCCTCCTCCTCCTCCTCCTCCTCCTCATTAGCATTGAACAAAGACCATACGCATTATATTTGCGGGCGCTCCGCGCAGCAAGTTCCTGTCGATGCCGTTTTTTTCTTCGGATCCGTTCGGCACCGCGTCGATCCTTCGGCCCTGCACCGATCGCGACCCCCCGATCGTTCAAAGGCTGCATTCCGTCAGGTCCAGCGGCGCTACGGTGTCCCCCTTTGTGCTTCAGCTGCGGGCAATACTTCTGTCCATATCCACTGCAGTATGGAGTTTGGGGCTCTCTTCCACAGAAGCCCGAGGCGCACTGGATATGGAGATATCTACCCCCTGCGGCTCGAGCTTTGCCCATATCCGGTGCGCCTCGGCCTTGTGGCGCCCCTTCCAAAAAAGTGCAAGACGCACTGGACATGGATACAGACCTGTCCCGCATCAGCGTCGCAGAGTCTAACCTCGAACCCCAGCGCCGGCGTCGCCAGCGCGCCAGCGCCGCAGGAGCCTGCCGCACGACTCCCACGAGCGTGCGAGCGGGCGAGCCTTCAGTTGGGGCCTGTCCCTCTCTACGGGAGGAGGGTTCAAGTCAAAGAATAGTATGGGGACGATTTCGTGGGTAGTTCTGGGAGCATGTGTTTGATATCTTCGACTACAGTGCCGTTTTTTATACACGCTCCGCGTGCGGATCATGTATTAAACATGCAGGCGATGAGTTCATGCGTAAATTTATTCATACATGAATCATGTATTAAAAATCCGATATTGCAAAAAAAACATATGTATTAAAAACTGCCCAGTATTTTTGTTCGACCAAGATCCCCATGCAGGAAGACACGCCCGACCTGAAGCGAGCCACGCAGGCAGGCCTGTCCGCTGCTCGGCCCCTGCGCAGGGCGTGGGGAGCACGCGAACGACAGTCGGACTGCGTGTGGCCGGGTCCGGCTGGGGCCTGAGACGTCCCTTGGCTTCTTTCACGTTCTTGGTTCCGCAGTGGCACGAGGACTGCACTCGAAGGAGCGAGCACGTGGCATGCAGGTGGATTAAGGAGTACGGTCGGAGTCGGTTCGGGGTGGGCGCCCTGGTGTTCGTGGGAAGCCCTTGTGCCGTGCATCCTGGGGCGGGTACCCTTTGGATGCTTTTGAGTGTGGCCGGCGGAGGGTCTCATGGTCTTGGGGGATGTTCTTCTGGCCTCGGTCCGACTGTACTTGGCATCGCTCGGACGTGTGCATTTTTCCTTCGGCGAGGACCATCGAGGAGCATCCTTGATCATCTGGCTAAAAAACCACGCACGAGACCGAAAAAAAACGCAGGAAATGGACGTCCGAGCGATGGCCAGTGTACAGTTGCATTTTCCTAGGTGTGCGCAGATTTCTTGGATTACCGCTGGACACCACTTCTGGCGCGCGGAGCGAGCCAAGGACGACGCCAGAGGCGCCGCCGAGGTGTCGGCGCCGATCCAAGAAGTCCGCGAGGACCTCCATACAGATTATGGTCATGTAGCTGTTCCCCACTGAAATGTAGCCGAAGGCTCTTTTCGATGGTTTGAAGAGCCCGTGAGTGTCGGGCCTGCGCCAGCCAGCGTTCCTCGGAGTTCCTTGGTCTTGGTTCCTTGGTTACTCGCTCTTGGTTCCTTGGTGCCTTCCTCCGGTTCCTTGGTTTTTGTTCCTTGGTTCTTTTGGTATTGGTTCCCTCGTCACTTGGTCTTAGTTCCTTGGTCGTGGCTCCTTGGTTCACTTGTCTTGGTTCCTTGGTTCGCTGGTCTTGGTTCCTTGGCTCCTTGGTCTTGAGTCCTTGGTTCCTTGCTGTTCGGTCCCTGCTACCTCGCCACGCGATGGCAAGCAGAGCCACGCAATGCAAAGCGATGCCAAGCAATGCCACGCAATGCCACGCAGTGCCAAGCAATGCCAATCCTTGCTGCATCGTCACGCAATGCCCTGGTTCATTAGTCTTGGTTCCTTGCCGCCTCGCCACGAAATGCGAATCAATGCCAAGCAACGCCACGCAATGTCAGCCAAAACCAAGCAATCCCAAGACATACCACGCAATGCTAAGCGATGACAAGCAATATGCCAAGCAATGCCAAGCGATGCAGCGAAATGCGCCACTGCAATAGTCAACTGTCCCAAGCTTAGGGTCACGCTGGGTGTAATTCTTCTTCGAGGCAGCCCTCCGCGGCCGATCATCGCGCATGGCAGATTTGTTGCTTCCCCAGCCGTCTCGTGTTGAGTTGGGCCCTCGCTTTGAAGAGACAGCGCCCCGCGTCTCACTCTTCCTTCCTCCTCCCCATCCTCCCTCCTTCCATCCCTGTCTCCGCCCTCCGCATGTCCATTTCAGCACACCCCTCACACGCTTCGTGGCCCCATAAGAGGGCTCCACCTGAGGCCCCAGCGGCTGGGGTTCGCGTACTTGGTCCACGCCAATTCGGCGAACCTCTCACACGATTCGTGGAGCTCCACATAAGGCCCAGTGGCTGGGTTCGCATACTTGACCCACACCCTTCCGGCGCACCCCTCACACGTTCCGAGGCCCCATAGGGAGCTCCACCTGAGGCCCCAGCGACTGTTGGGTCCGCATGCCTGGTCCACTATTTCGGCGCACCCCTCATACACATCATGGCCCCATAGGGTGCTCCAGCTACGGCTCCAGCGGCTGGCATCGCATAGTTTGCCCACACCGTTTCGGCGCACCCCTCACACGCGTCGTGGCCCCACAGGGAGCTCCAGCTAAGGCCCCAGCGGCTGGGTTCGCATACCTGGTCCACACCATTTCGGCGCACCCCTCACACGTTTCGCGGCCCCATGGGGAGCTCCACTTGAGGCCCCAGTGGCTGGGTTCGCATACCTGGCCCGCACCATTTCGGCTCACCTCTCACACGTTTCGTGGCCCCACCGGGAGCTCCACCTGAAGCACCAGTGGCTGGATTCGCATACCTGGTCCACGCTCTTTCAGCGCACCCCCCCACACGTTTCGTGGCTCCGTATGGAGCTCCACCTGAGGCTCCAGCGGCTGCGCCCGCATGCTTTATCCATATTGTTTCGGCACCCCTCACATGTTTCGTGGCTCCATACTGAGCTCCATCCATGGCCTTAGTGGAACAAACGCGCGATGACAGACTCGCTTATCAGCCTTAACGGGTTACATCCAGGTGTAACCTGTTACGGCCGACTTCCTTGCGACCCCATCAGCAAAGACATTCCGTCCTTCCACGCACGCCTAAAGTATTCGCAGCGGCATGCGGTTGGGTCCTTCGCCCTGCTAATTCTTAGCGCGGCGCCGGGGGATTTGGGATGGGAGTGGCGGAGGCTGGGGCTGCCCCCGGAGGAGTGGCAGGCACCCGGCGGCACGTCGGCAGCAGCTCAGATGGACCGCTTGGGGCTCAGGAGGGGTGCCTCGGGCTTGGGGCGCTGAGCGCCGTCTGGGCGCGGAGCCGTGGACCGTTTGGGGCTCACGACGGGCGCAGCCTGGGCGCTGAGATCTGCGCTCCGCCGTCACGAAGGAAGCGGGCCCGGTGGGAAGGTTTGGCAGCCATCCGTGCTCCCCAGGCCCTCGACGGGCCATGGGACCGTCAAACACGTGCAGGAGGAAGAGTTGCTCCTGGGGGAAGGCCCCGGGGCCTCAAGAGCAGCTCCTCTTCGGGAGCCTGGAGACGGGGGTCAATTCAAACGGGGGTCAGCCACGGCACCGGATCCCGCAGAATCTTGCGAAGACCCCCTCTGGCTGACCCAGGTTAGCGAGCCGCTCGTGGCCGCGAGGCGGCCGCGCCTATTGGCTGACCCGGGTCCGTTCTTCAGATCGAGGTCTGGGGTCTTGGGGAAGAAGGCGACCCTGCATCCCGGCCTGCCCCACCCCCACCCCTGGGGCAAGGTCGAAGAGCTTCGGCTCCCGATGGTGAGGGTTTCCCGCCAAAAGAACGGACACTTACGGTTATGCTGCTCCACCCGATTTTAATTTTGACCACCAGAAACAATTTCGAGCACCACAAAAGTACCGAAACCCGAGGAGTCTCACGTGTCGGGCCCTGGGAGACACTCGTCCGACACTGCCCCGGCACTGCTTCGACACCCTTCTTGGCTGCTCGAAACGATTCCTGGGATGTGGTCCTTAAGTACCATAGGAACAACCTGAAGTACCGTTTTCAATACATGCTCCGCGTGCGGATCATGTATCAAAAATGTAGGGATTTAGTATTAAAACAACGATGAGTTCACGCATAAGTTTATTCATAACTTAATCGTGCATTACATATCATATTGATAAATAATCCTATGTGGTAAAACTTGCCCTGTAAACGTAAGGCACAAGGAGTACGCCCCACCCCTCCGCCGCCTCCTCCTCCTCCGCCAGCCCCCGTTCCCAGTTCGGGGAGGGGGGGGCCGGGCCGGGGTGGGCGCACGCAGACTAAGCAGGAGGGAGCAGCCCAGGTTAGGTCCAAGTCGGGCCTGTCCCTCTGCAGGAGGAGTGATCAAAGATAGTACAAACATAGTCTGGGGACGATTTGGTTTGCTAGTCTTGATCGTTTTTGCTTCTGTTTGGCTATTCTTCATTTTTCGCCCAACATCCACCTGTAGGGGGACATGCCCGACCTAAGGTTAGGTCAGGAATGATTTCCCCCACGGGGAAGCCTGTGGATCGAGCCCAAGTCGCCCCACCCTCGATCCACCACCCAACCGCGCCCGAAGGCCCCAATTTGCCCTCCATTCCCAGTCGGGGGGATCTCGGGGACCCTTGGAACAACACATGTGTAACCCGCCGCCCCCCGACCCAACCCGAAATTTGGGTATTCGCGCTTGATTGGGGTGGTCTGGTAGGTAGTCATCGCCGTCTTGGCCAGGGGTCCTCCTTTCTCCTTGCATACCACGCTCCAGGCTGGTCCATTACTTGGCATCGCTCGGACGTGTGCATCTTTTCTCGGTGAGGACCCTCGAGGGGCATCTCGAGGATCCTCGTGCGAAGAGTAAGCGCGCGAAGCCGAAATTTGCACGGGAAGGGACGTCCCCGAGAGATTGCGAGATTACAGTGGAGACCCATGCCAAGAGACACCCTGCTTGCCTCCAGTGGGCCCTGGGTTTCCTCGGTCCCGATGCTTTTGCTATGGAAGGCGTGACGTTCCCACACCGACTCTCAGTGGACGCCCTGGGGCCTCCGAGTTGGGTCTCTTGTGGGAGGCTTCTCGTGGTCGAGCCCCTACAGTGCCGTTTTTTATCCATGCTCCGCGTGCGGATCATGTATTAATAATTGCAGGGATTCAGCATTAAAAACAACGCTGAGTTCATGGATCAATTTATTCATACGTTAATCATGTATTCAAAAATCCCATATCTAAAACATATTCTATGTATTTAAAAAAAACGCTGCCCTGTACTGCAGGGCCCTCGCCTCGCGACGACGCGCGCGGGGCCCGCGCCCCGCCCGCGACGGGCGCTGGCGGCCGACGGCGGCCGAGCGGCGGCGGCGACGGCGCGCAGGGCTACGCCTACGTAGAGTTCTCTTCCGAGCGGGAGGCGCGCGCCCGCGCGCCCGCTCTCCCCGCGCGCGCGCGGGGCCCGCTGCTCTGTCGCACACGCTCGCGACGACGGCGCTGATTGATGACGATGATGGTGCTGATGATGATGGTGCTGATGGTGATGGTGATGATGATAATGATGATGATGATGATGATGATGATGATGATGATGATGATGATGATGATGATGATGATGATGATGGTGATGGTGATGGTGATGGTGATGGTGATGGTGATGATGGTGATGGTGATGATGATGATACTGATGCTGAGGATGATGATGCTGATTATGATGCTCGTGACGATGCTGATGCTGATGCTGATGCTGGCAACGATGATGATGATGCTGATGATGACGACGTCGACGACGATGATGATGTTAGCAATGATGGTGATTATGGTGATGATGATGATGATGATGATGATGATGATGATGATGATGATGATGATGATGATGATGATGATGATGGTGATACTGATGATGCTGCTGATGATGATGGTGCTGATGCTCATGCGGATGCTGATGATGCGACCACGACGACGATGATGCTGATGCTGATGATGCAGATGACTGTTGAATGTGATCATGGTGATGCTGCTGATGATGTTGCTGATGATGCTGATGATGATGCCGATGACGTCACATCGTCATTGTCGTCATCGCCATCGTCATCGTCACCGATCGGCTCGGGGCAGCGTTCCCGGACCAGAGCAGCGGCGAGGCGTCCGGCGTGCCTGCATGCCCACCGAGGAGTGTGCTGGGGTCGTTTTGTGGGCTGCACGGAATGCTCTGGGGACATTTTTTGGTTGATAATTTCGTTTTACCACGTCGGGCGAATGTTTTAAGAGCATAGCTCTCTTCTCAGAGCACTTGGATGGTTCTAGGAGCATTTCGTGGTAGGGCTAAAGGAATGCCAGGACGGTCGGTCATTGCTCAACAGGCCCCGTCGCGTCGTGAAGAAAGCCACGACGGGGGTTTTGTCTGTTCTGCAATGTTCTGTCTCTGGAGGCCCTTGCCGGGCCCCGCGACAACCGGAGCACGTCCCGGGACGAATAGCTGGTCCTGAGGAATGGGTCGGTGGCGACACTGCGATTAAGATCACGGAGTCGGGGGTTTGGGCTTAGGGACGGGGAGGAGGTTTTCGGGCGCTTTCGTTGGTTCCCCGCGGGTTTCCAGCCTCGGGATGTCTTCCAGCAGCTGGACCTCGCCGAGAGCCTCGCGGGTGTGCCCGAAGCGTCCCGAACGGCCGCTGGAGATCCGAGGTATGATCCGAAAGCCATCGATGGGGGGGGGATCACCTCAGAGGGTAGCACATCGAGCCCCGACCGCCCATGGATCGCCGATGGGGCCCCGCTGTCCGGCGCAGCCCAGGACCGTGCGGTTCCGTCACCAGGGTGCTATCGCCCTTCTATCGGCGATGTAACGCCGGCTCCAGGTCGATTCTTCGCCTCCCCTGCGTCGGCCCCCTCCAGTCGGACCGAGGTATAAGGTCGAGGTTGGTTCGGGGAGGGTACCCTGATGCTCTCCGTGCTTGTTGGATGGTCTCGTGCAGCCTGGCGAGGATGCTCTTGGATGCTCTGTGTGCTTCGGCCGGCGGAGGGTCTCATGTTTTTGAAGGATGCTCTTCTGTCCTGGGGCCGACTGTATCAGTTCCCCTCAGAGCATCTTATGGTAGAAGACTGGGTGGACGAGCCGTGACGAGCCGTGGCTCGTCGAGCAGGCGTCCTTTCCACAGCGCGTGGCACCTGGCCCAGCTCCTCCCCCTGCTGCCGCCAGGCGGACAGCGCCGTCTCGCACCTGCACGGCGGCCAGATCGACGGCAACGTCATAAAGGCGCCCCGGGCCGCCGGCAGGAGGGAGGGGCTCGATCGGAGGTGTCCGTCTCCAGGCCTCCCAGGTGGCGTCCGAGTGACGACTGTAGGGGAACAGAAAGTGGCATAAACATAAAACTCGGAGGTCCGCGCGGATTTCTCGGATCCGCGCTGGACCCCCCTGGCGGCGCCTCCGGCTCCGCCCCTGGCGCGCTCCGCGCGCCAGGGAGGGGGGCCCAGCGCCGATCCGAGGAATCCGCGCGGACCTCCGAGTTGTTATGCCTATGCCACTTTCTGCTCCCCTATAGACTGGGAGCGGAACCACAGAGCGGCCGCCGGGGCGCGGCGGGCCGCGGCGCGCAGGGCCAGTGTGACAGCCCTGGAGTGCACAAGTGATCCTCGGTGGGCCGCCCGACATGTTCTGGAAAGCGGGCCGAATTAGATCCTTGGCATCGCTCGGGCGTGTGCATTTTTCCTTCGGCGAGGACCATCCAGGAGCATCCTTGATCATTTGGCGAAACAACCACGCACGAAACTGAACAAAACAGGGACTGGACGTCCGAGCGATGGCCAGATTTAGCTCTGGAGACATCCGAAGCAGCTTAATTCTCCTGGCCCTCCTCTCCATGCCCCCGAAAGGGGGTCCGAGTAGATGGGGTCGGAGGATCGCGCCACATCTACTCGGACCCAAGTTTGGGGGCCTCTATCCGGGAGGGGGTGATGACCTGCGGTGCGTGGACATCATTGCGGGGGCCGCGTGATCTTTGAGATGTCTGGGTTCCTGTCCCCAACTTTGGGAGGCCTCTGTCCAGTTGCGGAGAGGTGGTGACCAGCGGCGCGTTGATATCATTAGTGGGGCCATGTCAGCGACGAAAGAAGACGGGATCGTTTTCGCCGACATTGGCGCGTAAGCTGCCCGCGTAAGGTCGCGCGTCAGCGCCCTCGCTTCAAATGTGGCGTGCCGCGCGGGCGGCCCGCGTGAGCCACCGCGTCAGGTCGCTATGCCATCTCGCGTCCGACCCGTTTTGGATCGTCGCTCATGGAGGTATGGGGGAGGAGGAGGAGGAGGAGGAGGAAGACCAGGAGGACCAGGAGGCGGAAGGAGGAGGAGGAGCAGGAGGAGGAGGAGCAGGAGGAGGAACAGGAGGAGCAGGAGGAGGAGGAGGAGGACCAGGAGGAGGAGGAGGAGGAGGAGGACCAGGACGAGGAGGCCCCCCCCTCTTCGGCGCCTCGAGGGGTTGGAGGTTCGAGGATCGAGGATCTCTTCTCTCGAAGAACTCAGACAAAACATAGATCCGCGCGGCTTTCGTGGATCCGCGCAAGGCCCCCCGGCGGCGCCTCCGGCGCCGCCCCTGGCGCGATCCGCGCGCCTGGGAGGGATTCCAGCGCGAATGCAAGACATCCGCGCGGAGCGCCAAAAGTTTATGTTTATGTGTTTTTGTGTGTTCTTCTATTGTCGGCGGCGAGCGAGGGGGGGAAACGAAAAGGAGGAGGCCTTCTCTAGATAAACGCGTTCCACTACTCGCAAAGTAACTACTCGTAAATGTCTGGATCCACCATGAAGTATTCACTATACATCACACCGATGCAAACATGTGTTTTTCTGACTTTTTCGAGTAGGCACTTTGCGAGTAGACGGGCGCTGTCGGTGATTCTCAGAAGGCGGCGGGACTTCTCAGAAGCCCCCCGCCTTTTTGGACATTTTCCGTGCCTCCGCGGAAGATTGAGGAACTTCTCAGAAGGCCGGGGAATTTCCGAGCCTTCTGAGAAGGCCCGCTCCCTCTCATTCCCTCCAGGCGCGCCGCCGGCTGTTGGTGTTCGAAGTTCAAAAGAATTTGCGAATCCGTCTGGGCACGTCAACCGAAGGGCAGGTGACCCTTGGAGCACCGCTCCAAGGGTCGCCGGCGGTATCCGTAAGAAGTGTGAAGGGAGAAACGACAGACATGGAGGGGGAGGGCCTTCTCCTCCGCCTCCTCCTCCTTTTCCTCTCCCATTCCTTCCTTATGGATGACACCTCCTTGTCACACCCCCAGGCGTGCCGGCTGGGCGGGCTGGGACGTCCTCACCATGTATGATCTTGCAGCTTGACGTGTGCAACATTTTCGCGGAATGCGGGCGGGCCGTTTTCCAAATGTGTACAGTTTGGGGGCTGACGAAGGAACCCTTTTCGTTGGGGAGGGGCTCGGTGTTCTAGGATTGTTTTGCAGTTTGCCCTGGGTTTTCCTAAGCTTTTCCCATGGGAAATCGAAATTTAACCTATGGGAGAAGGGGGCCTCGTTCCCTAGGGTTCCTCCGGTCAACGCCCCGACTGTATCTCGCCTTAGCGCCGCGCACATTTGTTTTAAATGGTCGCGACAGTTTGAAGTTTGACGGATGGAGCGCGGGCCGTTTTCGAAATATGTGTCCCGCTCTAGCGCCGCGCACATTCTTCCTGGAAGTGTGCAGATGTTTGACGGATGGAGGGCGGCCCGTTTTCAAAATGCGGTTCTCGCTTCAGCGCCCCGCACGCTCGTTTCAAAAGCCTGCAGAAGTTTAAAGGATGGAGGGCGGTTCTTTGCCGAATTCCCGCTCTCGCTTCAGCGTCGCGCACATTCGTCTTGAAAGTTATCAGCAGCTCTAAGGATCGTATGGTTGAAGTCCTAGGAATTCTGTTCTGGCTCAGTTTAGCATTGTCAGGACGCAAAAGTCGCGTTGCTTCTCGGTGTTGGAATAATGTCCGGGGACGGCTCAGGAATGTCAGGACGCAACAGTGATGTTCATCCGTTGCGTTGAAATCCCAGGAATGGTTTTCTGGCACGATTGACGATTCTCAGACGGTTGTCTTCTAACGGGCCACTTCTTGCAATCAAGATAGGATGAAGAGGGACTGTGGAGGGACGGTTTATTACAGCATCGTTGACGCGTGATGGGTTTACAATGGTCCCCTCCTTCTCCCTCTCCTACTCTGCCGCCTTCTCCCAGCAGACCGATAGATCACGGCGTGGGAGTAACGGGGAGCAGCGCGGTCCGCCTCATGCTACGCGCACTCCTCCTACGCCTCCTCCTCCTTCTCCTCCTCCTCCTCCTCTTCCTCCTCCTCCTACATGCGATGCTACGTTACCCCTCCCATCGCGTCAAGCAAATCATGTCGACACGTTTTTTACACTGGGTCATCGTTTTGAATTCGCTTCGACGCGCGTCTCCTTCTCCTCCTCCTCTCTTCCTCTCCTCTTCCTCCGCCGCACCCCTCCCTCCACTTCCCCATCCTTCTACGTTTCCCAACCCTCATGTGTGTTGGGTCCTCGTTTTGAATTCGTGGCGCCGCGCGTCTCCTTCCCTCCTCTTCTCCCTCCTTCCTCCTCTCCTCTTGCTCTTCATCAGTTGCCATCTTCCATTTCGGCACAACCTTCACACGTCTGTGGCCCAATAGGGAGCTTCACCAAAGGCTCCAGCGGTTGCGCCCGCATGGTTACCCGCCCCATTTTGGCGCACACCTCACACGCGACGTGGCCCCACAAGGGGGCCCCACCGAAGGCCCCAGTGGCTGCGTGCGCACGGTGGCCCGCCCCATTTCGGCGCGCGTCGCGCGCTTCGTGCCATCCCTGTCCCTTGGGCGTGCGGGGGGCCCTGCCCGGTTCGGTGGGGGTCTCCCGCCTGCCCGTGGGGCGGGGCATTTCCCCCGTCCCGCACGGGCGGGCCCGCCCGTCGCCCGCGTGGGCGGGGCGCCGCGGCCGCGTCGCGGCCGCGCGCGACGGCTCCGCGCGGCCGATGCGCGGGTGGGCTGGCTGCGGCGACACAAAAAACAAAGAAAACTTCCTCCCCCTACTCTCCCTCCTCCTCCTCCTCCTCGACGGAGAAGGGGATAGCTCTGGGGCCCGCTCATCCTCCTGCGAAGGAGGAGTGGGGTGGAGGCAGGCAGAGGAGTGAAGGGGGGGGGTCTGGTCCCATGCTGCCGCCAGGTCGAGTGGCAGGACCAGCGGAAGAAGCAGCCGGCAAGAGTGGCCCGGGGACGGGGCCGCTTGTCGCAGCCGCAAACTTCCGGGATATCTGGCGTTGGGCAGGGTCCACATCGATCCAATGGATGCGATTCGGTATCGATCCTGGGCGGCCCTTGCATGGCGTTGCTGTGCATCATGGCTCGGCCGATCCGAGTCGATTCCGGCTCAGTGCCGATGCGGCCCGCTGAGGTGCACGTTCCGACCTGATCCGATGTCCTGGTTCGATGTTGACTGATCCTGAACTTACCAGGGGTCCGCAATTCTAGGCCTCCTAGATGGTGTCTGAGTAGATGGGTCGGAGGATCACGCCGCATCGCCGATGCATCGGCCATGCGGCTCGATGGGGAGCCCGATTTTCTGCACGCGGACGTCTTCGATGCGTCGCCGACGTCGCCGGTGCATCGTCGATGCATCGCCCATGCATCGGCGATGCATTGGCGATGTGGCACGATCCTCCGACCCCATATGTATCGGCCCATCTAGGAGGTCTCTAGTAATGGGGACGAAGTAAATTGTGCCGATGATTGACTGCGGCTCCTGCCCGTTCTGGGCAAGCTTTGTTGTCTGTTTTCGCGGCGAACAGTTCTCGGTCCGATGCACTATGGCTATGGCGCCGTGTGCGCAGCAGCAGTCTGTTTGGGGGAGTTCGGACAGCATCAGCTCTATTCGCCGCTGCCCTTAATTATGGGCAATATCAACGGCTTGGCAGCAGCAGCAGCAGTCGATGTGGATTTGTGGCGGCAGCAGCTGTAGCAGCAGTTGTGGAAGCCGCTGTCTAGTTGCAGCTGCAGTCGCATACCACGATTGTACATTATGGAAATGAGTTACCCGATTGTCGGAGGAGGAACATGTACCCATGCTGTTACCCTCCGCCCGTTTTCTATGTTTCGGGCCTCCTGGGAGGCCCTTGTCGCCACCACTGGATTCGCTTCGAAAATCTAGTCAGAACGCACCTCGGGGGAGGTCTGGGGAGTAGCGGTATCGGTACATTTCGGTTTCCCCATATTTGGTTTGGCCAAAAAAAGGTTAACCTGAAGGCTTTGCCGCATGGTTGGCCAGTGTATTCTTTCGAGAGGCAATTCTACCCACCACAAGATCCAGGACACCCGCGGCACTCGACAAGAGAGTCTGTCTTTCGACGCACTCCCCGCAGAGTTTTTGTGCGACCGCTCCTCAGTTCCCGTTTATCCCCAGTGTGTTTTTGTTTCTCTTCTTCATCCTCCTGACGTTGATGCTGCTGCATTGAATTTGTAGAACGGAAGCCACGCAGGGCGAGGCAGTTGGGTCCACCCCCTGCGGGAGTGAAGGGGAAGGCCCCCTGCTCATCATCATCATCATCATCCTCATCCTCGGTATCACTGCCCCTCCGTCTTGGTCTCGTAGCTGCTCGGCGGTGCCACGCCAGGCGTGGCAGAGCCGACTTGAGCTACCCCGCAAAGGGGGGCGGCGCGAGGATGCAGCCGTGTCCCTCTGCGCTCCGCGGTGCGAGCCCGCCGTGGGGCCTGCCCTCGTCTTCGACGGCGCGCACTGGCCTCTTCCTGCTTTTAGGGGTAACCACGAAGTTTTGTTGTTGTTTTGGTCTCCCCCCATTCTCGCTCGGCAGTGTATAGGACGGGTCCTAACACCTCCTCCTCCTCTTTCTCCTCCTCCTCCGTCTCCTCCTCCTCCTTCTCCTCCTCCTCCTCCTTTTCATCCTCCCCCCTCTCACCCTCCTCCTCCTGCTCCTCCTGTTCCTCCTGCTCCTCCTGCTCCTCCTCCTCCTCCTCCTTCTCCTCCTTCTCCTCCTCCTCCTCCTCCTCCTCCTGCCCTGCTCCACCTACGCCGCTGAAAGCAATACTCAGTGGACCCCAGTCCTTCAATAACACCGCCGAACAAAGAAGTAGTCGCCCCAACATTGGGGGGGGTCCTGAAGGCCCTTCGCGGTTAACGTTAGGGGGATCTGTCCGGAAGCCATCGCAGGTGCTCGTTGGCTCTCGGCAGCCCCGGCAGCCTCGGGGTGCCCTCCGCGGCTGCGCCTCGCCGAGAGCTCTCCGGGGCTGCCCGGGCAGTCCCGGACGGCCGCCGGAGCTTCGAGTCATGGCCCGAGCTGCAACCGGGGACGGGGTGTTTCAATTCGGGTTGACCCAAAAGAGGGTCCAGCGACAAGGGGGTGGTGCAATAGATTTGGTGCAATAGATTTGTGGGGTTGCAACACATTTGGGGCGTGCAATACATTCCGGGGGGCAGATGTATTGCTGGATTTTCGCGTGCAGTACATGAGTTCCAATACAATGCAATACCGTTCTCCAGCGCAATACGTTTGCAATACAATTGCCCCAAATCTATTGCACCACCACCTTGCAGCTGGACCCCCTTTTGGGTCGCCCAGAATCAAGCAGTGGCGAAGCGTCCTGGCTCGCCTAGAGTCCTACGAAACAATGTTCTAAGAACCTTCTGTGGCTCCCACGAATTTTTCTTAGAACATTTCTGGCGGAGTCTGTCTTGTTTTATCACATCGGGTTTATGTTCTGAGAACACTGCTTTGTGATTGGAACATTGTTGGGTTCTAAGAGCATGTCGTGGTAGGACTAATTATGGGAATGCCGGGACGGTCGGTCCCTGCTCCAGTGCTGAGCTGTGGCCCGAAAGCTTGAGTCATGACCCGAAGACTCGAGGTATGGCGCACGGACCTTCGCCCGCTCGGCACTCGGGTCCCGCAGGGCAGCCCACGTGGCCCGCTCCAGCGCCCTCACGCGGGCGAGGCTCATCTCCTCCTCCTCCTCCTCCTCCTCCTCCTCCTCCTCCTCCTCCTCCTCCTCCTCCTCCTCCTCCTCCTCCTCCTCCTCCTCCTCCTCCTCCCCCTCCTCCCCCTCGCATCGGCCTTTCATCGCCCTTTCGTCGCTGATGGGGACCCGGGAGCCCACCGCACCCGACCCAGGAGCCTGCGGATCCGCTGCCGTGGGCTTTGTCGTCGATCCCTTCGGCGGTGCGTCGCGCCGGCTCCGGCTCGAGGTTTCCCCTGGCATCGCTCGGACGTGTGCATTTTTCCCTCGGCGAGGACAATCGAGGAGCATCCTTGATCATTTGGCGAAAAAGCCACGCACGAAGCCGAAACAAACACAGGGAATGAACGTCCGAGCGATGGCGAGTTCCCCACCCGAGCTGCTCCCTCCCCTCTCGTCGTCCCTCGCGGACTTGGCATCGCTCGGACGTGTGCATGTGTCCTCGGCGGGGACCACCGGTCGGCTTGACCCGAAAGGGGGGTCCAACGACAAGGGGGTGTTGCAATAGATTAGGTGCCATAGATTTGTGGGGTTGCAATACATTTGGGGCGTGCAATACATTCCGGTGGGCAAATTGTATTGCTGGACTTTCGCGTGCAATACATTACTTGCAATACGATGCAGTACAATTCTCCGGCGCAGTACGTTTACAATGCAATTGCCCCAAATCTATTGCACCACCCCCCTTCGGCCGGACCCCCTTTCGGTCACCCAAGATCGGGGAGCATCCTGGATCGTCCAGTAGCAACAGCATGCACGAAAACAAACAATGCACGGGGAATTGACGTCCGAGCGATGGAGAGGGTGGGCTCCTGAGGTTCAGGTCTCCCGAGCCGGGCCCGAGTAGGCGGGGTCGAAGGACTGCATTCCAGCGCGATCCTCCGACGCCGTCTTCTCAAACCCCATCTAAGGGGCCTCTGATTCGATCCGGGCACGAAAAGACGGGGCCGAAGGACTGCGCTGCGGCGCGATCCTCCGACCACATCCACTCGGACCCCATTTGAGAGGCCTCTGAAGCTGTCCTCCGGGGCGGTCGCTGGTGCCTCTTCCAGGTTGGCTGGCCCGAGAGAATAGCCGAGGGTCAACCCCAGGCTTGGCGCTTCGGGCAGCGCGGCGCGCAGAGTTGGCCATGCACGGCTCGTTTCCACTCCGCCAGTATCTTTAAGTCGGGCCTGTCCTTCTACAGGGGGGATATTCCGAAATAGTCATAAAAATAGTCAGAGGACTTTTTTTTGTTTTATAATTTTTGTGTATTTCGGGTTTTTTTGGGGGGTATGCTTTATTCATCTGTCCAAATCCGCCCGTAGGGGGACATACCCGACCTAAAAGCATCCCTCCTCCAAGATCCGGCTTCGTGTAATACGTACGCTGCCGCGTTGGGAGGCCTGGTCTGCCCTGGAGAAAGCGGTGGCTTCGCACGGATCTGACGTGGCTTCGACACGGCTCCGGCGTGGTTGTTCGGCGCGGATTCGGCGCGGACAGCGGCGGACAGACAAGGTCCCCCGAAGGTGCAACATACATCGAAGAAACACAAAAACACATGACCATAAATTTTTGGCGCTCCGCGCGACTTTTTGGATTCGCGCTGGACCCCCCTCCCCCGCCCCTGGCGCGCGGAGCGCGCCAGGGGCGCCGCCGGAGGCGCCGCCGGGGGGGCCCAGGCGCGGATCCAAGAAATCCGAGCGGAGCGCCAACAGTTTATGTTACCGTGCTTGTTCCTTCTTCAAGTACAGCGGGCCTTTCTCGGCGCCGAGTGGGCGACTCTCCGAGGCCCGAAAACCATCACTTCACTAATTTTGGGCCCCAGGGCCCACTGAGGCCCCAGGGGCCCCAGATTAGTGAAGTGATGTGTTTTTTTTTTCCCACGTAAGGACCCCGAAATTCATCACTTCACTAAACCGAACCCAGGACGAAAGTCAGGGGCCGAATCGCTGCTGTGATGCCACATCCATGTGCAGCGGGCCCTCCTCGGCGCCAAGTGGGGGCGACTCGGGGCCCGGGACGGCCCGCGGGTGCCCCCGAAGAGCGCGCAGGAGCGGCGCGCGGCTGCATGGAGAGCACCCCGAGGCGGAGGAGCCGCCGGAAGAGCCCGCGAGAACGAGCGCAGGCCGATCGAGCCTCGAGGCCGAAGGCCCCCCCGACACGATGAGGTGCGGCGCCGTTCTGGAGGGGAAAACACACACAGACACAATGAATCGTCGATTCCCCCGAAAATATGTGAAAGTACTGCAGGGGCAA